CCTCAATATTGTGTATATGTTTACATGCAGCCATTTTTTTTAAAGCAGAAATCATGCACATTTCCTAGATAAAGTGCAAAAGCCTTTTTCTGCAGATAAGCATTTTTATCATTTCCCCATAGCCCTAAGCACACATATACAAATACGCTTCCCCATAAGACCCCTTCAGTTACTTATTTGTTGAAATGAGAGTCTCAAATGGGAATATTTACAATAACTCCCCATTTAACTTTACTATAGTTTTTGATTGTTTTCTTTCACAATTCACAAGTAGAGTTTACAGCCTTGTTATTCTAAATGTGATCCAGCAGCATCAGCAACACGGAGATTGTTATAATTCAGCTAGAAAACTGCACCTCATACCTGCAGAATCAAAATGGGCATTTATGGAGATTCCTGGGTGAATTGTATGCATATTGAAATTTGCTAAACCTTAACTTAGGGTTGAGTGCCATTCAGAAATCAAAGAAAAAAATAATTCCTTAAGAGGATCTGCCACTATTGGATTTATATCAGGTAAGGAGAGGCAAGGGATGCAGACTTGCTGCAGAACAATCAAAATTAACAGTTTAAAGCCAGTCAAAAGTTTTCAGTTTAGCCAATAACTACAAGACATAGCATCTAGCAAAATAACAAAAATTGCATTTGTATAGGAAATTTCAAAAACTTGTGGAAAAGTGGAATTGAAAGAGAACAATCTTCCCATGAGCTTTTAGAAGCCTTCCTTATATACATTCTAAGGTAAAACACATTTGTAAGTGAACACTAATTTTTCTTAATTAACTGGTCTAAATATTCTACAAAATGAATTTTGTCATACCTGTAATTTAGCTAATGATTATTTAGAACTTAATCAGATTATATAACCCTTTAGGATTATAAAGATGTTATAGAATTATAAAAATCGCTATCAATTAAAGCATCAAGCTGAGATTGAAATTTGCTTTTTCCCCTTACTTCGGAGAAAGCAGAAGTCACAGGAGACATATTTCTAAAGCTGAAATCTGTTCAATATTCTTTAACTGACATTATGATAAAATCAACACTTTAGAAGTTCTAGAAACATGGTATGATTTTCAGAGCTAGATGATGGGAACTTTGTCCTTTGAGACATAAAAATATTACTACTCTTTTTGGCAACACTGTTGAATTTTTGAGAAAAAAAAAAAGGGCCTGTTAAAATGGGGGAGGGGGGAGCAAATAAAAAAAGTCCTTCATGTAGAACCTGGCTTTAGTCACTAATAATTTTTTTATTTTTGCACAAAGAAAACCTTTTTATTTCTTAATGTACACGTGAATCATGTGCAGATTATGTCAAAATGTGCAGGTTGTGATTCAGGAGGTCTGGGTTGAGGCCCACAGAGACACTTTGAGTAGCAATGTCCTAAAGAAAAAGCAAGGCTTACAATATTTCAATGTCCATGGTTTGCAAAGTACTGATCTTGATAAAGTTTCCAATTAAATTTCTAACTGACCAATCTAACACTCTTCTATCCTTATCTTACTTGGTCCTTCATAGAGATGTTATTCTTAATCACGGTGCATATTCTTAAAACCTAGGTCTTCTTCTCTAGTTCTTGGTCTTTCCTTATGTTTCTCATACTAACAACGCAGGCAGATTACAGGATTCCATTCTTAGTTTTGTCCCTTTTCCATGGTAGATGCTATCCCTGGATCACCAACCTTCTACGGGATCTCACTTCTGCATCACCAACCTAGACATGTCTCCCAATCTTAGATCTGTATATTCAACTGCCTAAATTTTCTTTCTAACACTAAGTTACCCACAAGTACCTACAACTCAAAATATCTCAAATTGAACTCTTTATCATTCTTTTACCAAATAAACCAACTGTGTATTGACTCTGTTTATCACCAATATCCACTAATTTATGTAAACCACATTTTATCACTACACCAAATTCAGCTGATCCTAGTTTCTAATTATTTTTCAAATCCATTCTTTAGTGGGATCATTTCTCATCCAGTGACTACAGTAACCTAAACAGTATTCTTGCTTCCCATCTCATTTCCCCTCTCAAATCTATTCTCTGCATTTATTATGTATAATCTTTGCAATATTGTTTCCCTCATTAAAATTCACCAATAACTTCCTATTACCTTTAGGAAAAAACTCTAGCTTTTTGGCACATCATATAAAGCTCTTCAAAATCATAATTTTATCTCTCCAGTCTAAATTCATACCATCCTAAACAGCATGTATTCTTTTCACATCTAGTTATCTGTAGCTCCCTGAGCCACTATCTCTAATGCCTGCGTATGCAGACAACTACTCCTTTTGCTTAAAATTGTCCTTTCACTGCTTTCTTATCTACACATTCATCTTCTTTCAAGATTCTACTTAAGGATTTAAAATGTCTTTTCTAATTACTTCATGTCTAAGTTAAGTGTACCTACAAGCTGTACCCCCTTTATTATGTGCTATCCCTATGTATTTCTCTAGTATTTACCAAATTGTATAACAATTGCTGGTTTACTACACTCCCCCCCACAAGTCTGAGCTAACTGAGCTCATCAATTAATCCTTCTATGAAGAGTCATCAGTACATGGCAGGTTCTCAATAAATGTTTGTGTTAGAAGTATTCTGAAATATAGTCATGAACAACTAACTTTGGCTCAAAATTTCAACTGCCAATAACTTTCAATAACCAGATTTCTATGGTAATAGAACACTTTGTCTTTATGGGCTTAAAAGAACTTCATAAGATTTCTCAAAACATCCTAAATATTAACCTAATTCCCAGCAATCTAAAGGTATATTAGAGATAAAACCTTTTACTAGTTGTTTTAAGAGGAGGTATTTTAATTTTGTGGACTACAGTGTTAAACAAAAGAGCAGTACTAATCTCTTTTTATGGTTGAAGTATTGTTCAGGTTTGCATCCTGACTCTTTTAACTATATGATGTTGAATAACAAAGAACGTTTCAAAGCCTCTCAAATTTTCTTCATTGTAGATGAAGATAAAATTGCTCACCTATCCCATAGGTTGTTTTCAGGTACGAGTGTGAAAGTATTTCTGTAGGCCATGAAGTGCTTAAATAAGCTTGAGCCACCATGTAAGCTTCTATGCCGACAACTGCCAAATATTTTACAGACACATTCAACGAATGGACCAATTAAACCTCCCATTCCCATCCCATACCTCTTCCCAATGAAGATTCATAAGCAAAATCAAGTTCCAGGGCCATCAGAACACAAGATTCATTCAATAGTCTTCAACATTCTTATGTGATTAAAATGTTTAATGAGAAATACAATGAATTAAATAGCAATTTAACATGTTCTTAATACGTTATTTTATAAATCTTAAGGTAAGTTGTTGGTACAGTCATTTAAATTTCAGCTCCGTTTTAAGAAAAAAAGATGAATTGGAGGTCAAAAATCAGCAGGGAATATTCAGGGGTATTTTCTTCTATTAACTACTTAGACTGGGCACTGTCTGTTGATACACAAATTTGATGCACTATAGAATAACCAACATGAAAGCTAAAAAAAGTCGCTCTTACAAAACCAGGATGTTTCCCCACACAAATTTCTGTTTTTATTTCTCAGATATCCCTGTCAGTGTATGAAACAAGAGAAAATTTGCTGCATTTTTCTAAACTAAAAAAGTGATAATGGATATTATCTGTGCTCTCAGCAACCTTTCTTTATAATAGATAGGGACTTATGAGATGATGGGGCTACATTAGGAGACCTCTGCTTCTTTTGAAGTATTTATAAAAATAGGATTCCTTACGTTTCAATGGGCCAAACTCCTTTTTTTAAAAAAAAAAGTAAGAAGAAAAAACAAAATCTACTAAAAATGTCAGCACATCAGTACCTGATTGTGGTAACAAGGCCAAAATCCAAGACGAAGCCCTTTATTGCACATCGTGTTCCAACGTCTTGGGCAGCCCCATCTTGCGACCTCTCCAGATTGACTGCTCCTGCTCTCTCTACTGCAGAGAGAACTTCAATTAGAGAAATTCTGACGCTCATAAATCTAAACTGGACACTCCCCTCACAGGAGGCATGGATGGTAAGAATTACTAAAAAAGATTCACGTTACAGAGGTTTCCAATAAACCGAAATGGCTTGAAACCACTGTGATGCAGGCAGCTGAGAGTCTTATTATGCAACAGTCTACTTTACTTGGAAAAAAAATTCTTAATACTTGGGAAAACTGGCAACTTATTAGATAACCTGGAAAAAAAAAACAGGCTATATAATCATAAATCTCTAAAAAGTGAAAGTCTCCAATAAACTTGTTAGAACATATAATACATAAAGTACAAAAGCTGGTAGCTGACCACTCATAATCCTATTAAGAGGAAGCAAGAAAAAAAACTAGAACACATGATTAATTTCATTTTATTCCCTAAAATAAACAACTTCATTTGAAAAAAAGGCCAGTTAAATTCCACTGGTGAGGAAGGAGTGGTTTCCCTGCTGACTTAAGCCTAGCTGCCCAAGCACGGCCTCAGAAAGGGCCTTCACCTACAAGTGTGCAGGCAGGAGGAGCAGAGGCTATGGCGGTCTTCCTGGTGACACTTCCAAGTCACACAGAGGGGACGTTTCTGGGATAGACTGCCAACAAGTTACTGAAAGGAGCGAAACAGAAAACAGCAAATACCTGGCCAACGACCTCACGTGCTGTCTCGTGACCTAAAGAGAGTCTGAAAGGCAGCTGAGACTACTAACATAAAGCATATCCTCTACATAAGCAAGACCTGGTGGGTGTCGTTTTCTTCAAGCTGATGCCCCAGAAAGTCATCTAATAATGGGTAATACACATTTCTTAGACCAAGCAAGTAACAAATCCTCCCTCTCCACTAAGAACTCCAGCAACGAAGATTCTTCACCGAAAGGAGTTGTTTGAAATAGCTTTCCCACAATGAATTTGCATCAGAAACTTGAGCTATGAAACATAAAGGCTAAAACTGTTGAGAAAATGCAATTGCTTAATGAAATAATTTAACAATGCTTTTATCTTACCTGAGTATGAAAGTTTGAAATGGTTGTTGTTTCTATATCTTTCTTGCCCAGAATTTCCATTTTCACTGGAGTGTTGGGGAAATTAAAAGCGAAGTAGTCCAAGAAGTCTGGGAGATAAGCAGCGGCTCCATGCACTATTGCTAAAGCATAATAAGCAGCGTTTTTCTCATTTTCGCTGAATGTCAAAGCAAGAAACTCTTCAGAAAATCTCTCCATCTCCATTGGAGACAAAAATGAGAGTTCATCCATGTAAGCATGAAGGACAAGAGCACCACCATTGGACTGGCGTTCCTCATGAATAAAGTTGCTAAATTTAGTACCTGTTTTTAAGAAATTTCTACGAATAGAATGCTCCTGGTGAGTCACAAAAGGTGTTTGTACTCCCTGGGGTACTCGATATTCTTGCATGCCCAAATTTAAACGGCACAGCTGCTCATCTTTCAGATACCTGAAGGACTCTTTATTAACTCCTGAAGTGCTATTTATTTGTCCTTGGGTGAGGATTTCCTTACTGATGCGGGTCAGGCCAGCACAGACGGTTTGTACTTCCTTATTATACATTTTAAGGCGTCTTCCTCGCATATCTTCTCGGTGTTTCTTTTTCTTTTTCTTCTTTATTTTCTTCAAGACCAAATCATCAGCTCTCTGGGTTTTACCATTTTCATCTGGCGTTTCTGGCCACAATAATTAAAGAGAAGTTAGTTGCTAGACCCAGTGTCAAGATACAATCTTCTTAAAAGTATCTGATCTCAAAATAAACCCTGTTCTCAGTTTCTCTAAATTTGCATTGAAACATACTAAGAAAATGAAAGAGATTAAAAATCTCAAAACACACTAATAGTTCTATAGTTGGTAATAGTGCTAGAAAGTAGTTGATACAAGGGCAAAGTGTATAATTTACTATGGTTGGCAATTAAACCTAAAGGAAATAGTCAAGCAATTCTTATGTGCTCTATGGATTATTTGTCTAGTTACCATTCTCATATCTAAATTGAAACTCATTTTACTGTCAGTCTACAAACAATGATACACATAGGTGAATCAAGCAGATATGAATCAAGCTATACTCTTTGCCACCATCAGACTTTTGGTCTATCAAATTAGCAAGATTGGGGGGGGTTGTCATTTTCATTTACTGATGCTGGAAATATATACTGGTATAACTTCCATGGAGAGTAATGTGGTTTTACGTATCAATAGCTTTGAAAATATTTATAACCCTCAGATTCAGAAATCCTACTTCCAAGTAAAAACTGCTTTCAAAATAACTGAAGATGGACAAAAATGTCTATAATAGAATTTAGTTAAACAACAAAAACGTGGAATCTGTAAAGCAGTCCAAAAATCTGATTGATTAAATGCTGGTACTTACATGCTATAAAATAACCCAGGCATTATAAATTATGCTGATTAAAAGAAATGACATACAAATTAAGTTTAAAATTATTTACATTGTCATTACTCCAGAAAGCCTTCTTTCCCCCACCCAAATTAGACAGCTGCTCCAGTGCTACGTAGATATTCCTGCTGTAGTTCACCTCCCATAGTACTTATCACATTCTGTTATTATATATTTAATTTCTCATCTTTCCTCTAACCTTTAAGCAATCTAAGGTCAGGAGTAATATATTTTACTCACCTTTGTTTTCAGAGTACCAAACACACGTACAATCTGGTCTCATTCTTATATTAAACATGTATTCATTAAAGCATTTACTGAGCACCTACTATGTGCTAACTAGTCTTCTGGGCAGTGAAAATATGGTATTAAAAAAGGGAAGCATTATCCCTATTCTCTTGGAGCTTATCGTCTAATTGGACAAGAAAAAGAAAGCACTGTAAATGGTCTTAAATAAGACGGTGAAGCATGTGAAGATCGAGGGGAAAATATTCCAGAGAGAATAAACAACTAACAAAAGACCTAAAGAGAGGTGAAATTCTGAAGTATATACCTTTTGTATGTATACAAGAAAGAAAATGTTCTAGATAATTATGCACAAGACAGAATATAATCAAGGGCACAGAATTATACATGTAGAAGTTGTTAAATTGGAAGAATGATTCATTGTGTGTTATTTTTGCCAAAATTAAAAAGAAATAATTACTAATGAGTACAAGGAAGGATAAAAATGTTCTAAAATTGGACAACAGAAAAGTGTTGGTGAACGGATACATCGGACAGTGTAAGACATGACAAAATAATAATAATTTATAAATTATCAAGGGTTCATGGAGGAGAGGAAAAAATGAGCTGATACCAAGAGCTCAAGTAGAAAGCAAATGTTTTGAGAACGATGAGGGCAACAAATGTACAAATGTGCTTGACACAATAGATGTGTGTATGGATTGTGATAAGAGGTGGACGAGCCCCCAATAAAATGATTTTTTTAATGTTCTAAAATTGATTGTGGTAATGACTGTACAACCCTTGATACAAATGAACTATTGAATTGTATGGCATGTGGAAGTGCCAATAAAATTGTTTAAAAGAAAAAGTTTTACCAAAGTATTAGTGATGGTTAGAGACAGAATTATACTTAACTAGCTTTTCTTTTTTGCCTATTTATATTTTCTATTTTTCTATAACAAACATGTATACATCCTACAATTTTTAAAATTACTTTTATATTTTAAAGCATTACCATGGATTAGCAAACTGAATTATTAAATCGCATTTTTAATTTATTGGTTGGGAAAAATACCTAGCAAAAGTATCTTTAGGACTAAATATCAAATAGGGTTTTGAACAACCTTTACACTTAATGTGATATTTACCTTACAAAATTTTATCTAATCAACAGCAGTATTTCTAACAAAATTCAAGCAATTCAGGGTTTAGATACTCCAATTAATCTTACTATTACATCTAAGAAGAATCAAGTTCAACAAATAATACAGTGAAGCATTTACTTGGGAGGGAGAGGAAGGAGCTGACACCAAGGGCACAATAGAAAATGTCTAGAAAATGATGGCAACATATGTACAAATATGCTTGATACAATTGATGTATGGATTGTTACAAGGGCTGTTAAGAGCCCTCAATAAAATGTTATAAAAAAATAAAACGAATCTACTTGGTAAATGGAAATATATGATAGCTGCAGTACTCTAGTTAAAGTCATTCTAAAGCAACACTTTATGAAACCTTCTAAAGAAAATACTTAAAAGTGCAAGTCAAAGATTTGAAAGTGTATTAGACACAGAATTTCAATTCTAGTATTTGTTTAAAAAAACCTTGCATTTGCAAACATCACATGTAATTAAATTGAGATTATATATTAAAATATACATGTAATCAGTTTGCTTCTGTTATGAAGAGGAAAACCATCCATTCTTTATTCTATAGATAAATCTTTGAGAATTAATCTTAGCCATTTAGATTTCTTACCCTCCCCCCAATAAATAAATAATCTAAATCCATTTCCCTGTATCTCAGATCAGTAATTTAGGCAATTCTCCCAAGCAACTAAATGTTAATGCCATTAAATGTAAAGGTTAAACTAATTTTAAAATAATTACCTAATTATCCTCAGCTAAATGTCTGAACAATTTCACAGAAAAAGAAAAAAACCTGACTAGATCCTGTGATTTTTAGCTTTTCAGGAGTATTTGGTATGCCTTACATCTGCCACCAAAATTAACACCAAGAGTGAGCTGCCATGATTTTAACACATTTTCTGTATTTCTATTAGATTTTCACTTTATTTCTAAAGTGACCATGTCTCTATAGGTTTTATTACAAATTCACTTTTATGAGACTTCAGTTAGCTCAACATGTCTCATCTCAAAAATAGCCAAAAAGGCCCTATATAAGGAAATAAAAAGGACTTTAAATTGGTGGGCAGAACTTCGAGCGGTGCACCTGGCAGTTCAGTTTGCATATAAGGAAAAATGGCCAGATGTGAGACTATATACTGATTCCTGGGCTGTGGCTAATGGCTTGGCTGGATGGTCAGGCAATTGGAAGGACCATGATTGGAAAATTGGTGACAAGGAGGTGTGAGGAAGAGGTATGTGGATAGACCTC